GTCAAAATCTCTGGATAGGCACTGTTCCTCAGTTCCCCGCCCTGCCGGATAACTTCCCCCTTGCTCTCACAAATATTATGGAGCACACAGCAGCTGCCACCGGAAAGGGACTGTTGCATTCACTGAGGTCTAACCTAGTAGGTAGACTCCTAAACCTTCCCTTTAAATGTCCAAAAGCACATTCCACCACCACTGTGCACTTGCTAAGCCTGTAGTTGAACTGCTCCTTGCTGCAGTCCAGGCTGCCCATTTACAGCTTCTTGAATCATGGGAGGAAGAAGTAGACTGGGTTGCCAACAATCACTATTGGCATTTCCACCTCTACATCATGCATCTTTCCCGACCATCCCACTCCGATGTCAGTGAAATGGCCCTTGTGATTCACAAGTGCCTGCAGCACCATTGAGAAGTATCCCTTGTGGTTTATGCTCCATCTATCACCCCACTGCATGTACTTCTCCACTGTCAGAGCAGGTCTCATTCAAGTACTCTTGAGCTTCAAGTCAGGGGAAAGCCATTTGCAAAGTTCAGTGAAAGTGGTCTTGCACATTCAGAAGTTATACATGCACTGCTGATTGTCCCATACCTGCAGCACTATGAGGTCCCACCAGTGTGTGCTTCTGTACTGGGGTGGAGTGGCCGCCCACTGACCCTGAGGAGGAAGATCCCCTCTGCCTACCAGTTGAGCTGAGGCTGATCCTGACCGGAAGCCAGGGGGAAGGCCAGAGCTATAAAAGCCCAGGTAGCAGCCTCAGTCAGGGCTGAGCCTGCAGAGGGTCGTGACGTTTGCTCAGGGCTCTCAGTCTGGGAGGCTGAGACTGGGGCCTGGTCTGGGCCTACAACCCGCCTGAGGCCGACTACCTGCTCCCGGCCTGGGCGGCTGTGACTGAAGCCTGGCCTGGGCCTCCAACTTTCCAGGAGCCAGAGGCCGACTACTGGCTACCTGCCTGGGAGGCCAAGACTCGGCCCGGCCTGCATTCCTTAGCAGGCCTGCGGAGGACCCAGAGGGCCATCTGGGTTCCGTGCCCAAGCCCCTGCCCAGGAAGCTGCTGCCGCTGCCACAGCCCCAGGCTTGGCCCAAGCTCCTGGCAGCACCTGACCCTGCAGACTGGCCCGGATGCCTGACCCCACCTGCACCAGGAGACCGGCTGAGTCCCGCAGACCTGAAAGCCGCGGAGGACTGGAGTGGGCCGCCGGGACTCTGCTGACGCCACTAGCAACCCAGGTACTGGCTGAGAGGGAGAACAGAAGTCGCCCAAGGGTTAGTGAGGGCTGCTAAAGGTCCCAAGGCCAGTATGTTTTGGGCTGGCGCTTACGCTGAGCCCATAGCAGTCTGTATTGCTGTCCTAGGGCCCTGGGCCGGGATGCAGTGGAGTGGGTAGGCCTGTGCCCCCCCTGCCACCCATCTACTGGGTGGCAGTCTCCCCCCTCGCCACGGCCTTATTTGTCCGCTGCAACACCCTGAACCAGGGTCTGGCTGTGCTTGCTAAACTGACTGTACTGTTTGTTTGTTGCCCTGCCCTGAACCAAGGGCCTGGCCTAACTGACTGGGGTTTGTTGCTGCCACACCCTAAGCCAGGGCTTGGCCAGCCCCAAAACTGACTCTGCACGCGCGCGCGTGTGTGTGTGTTGCCCCACCCTGAACTAGGGCCTGGCCCACCCATAAACTGACTTTGCTGGGGTGTTGCCATGTTCTGAACCGGGGCCTGGCCGATACTTAACTGACTCTGGGGTTGTCTGTTGCCATGCCCTGAACCGGGGCTTGGCCCATCCCCAAACAGGCTCTGTTAACTTACCGCCCACCCTGCACCAGGGCCGGGGCTAGATAGAGAGGGTCTTTATGTGCCACCCGCCTGAAGGAATGCCAGGCACGGACTAGTGACTTAGGGACTTGCCTAAAGGGGCCAGTGCAGTGGGGGCGGAGTGGCAGTCCACTGACCTGGAGGAGGAGGAACCCCTCCGGGAAGCTGAACTGGCTACCCCGGGAAGCTGCGGCCGCTGCCAAAGCCAGAGGCTTGGCCCAAGCTCCTGGCAGCACCTGACCCTGCAGACTGGCCCGGATGCCTGACCCCACCTGCACCAGGAGACCGGCTGAGTCCCGCAGACCTGAAAGCCGCGGAGGACTGGAGTGGGCCGCCGGGACTCTGCTGACGCCACTAGCAACCCAGGTACTGGCTGAGAGGGAGAACAGAAGTCGCCCAAGGGTTAGTGAGGGCTGCTAAAGGTCCCAAGGCCAGTATGTTTTGGGCTGGCGCTTACGCTGAGCCCATAGCAGTCTGTATTGCTGTCCTAGGGCCCTGGGCCGGGATGCAGTGGAGTGGGTAGGCCTGTGCCCCCCCTGCCACCCATCTACTGGGTGGCAGTCTCCCCCCTCGCCACGGCCTTATTTGTCCGCTGCAACACCCTGAACCAGGGTCTGGCTGTGCTTGCTAAACTGACTGTACTGTTTGTTTGTTGCCCTGCCCTGAACCAAGGGCCTGGCCTAACTGACTGGGGTTTGTTGCTGCCACACCCTAAGCCAGGGCTTGGCCAGCCCCAAAACTGACTCTGCACGCGCGCGCGTGTGTGTGTGTTGCCCCACCCTGAACTAGGGCCTGGCCCACCCATAAACTGACTTTGCTGGGGTGTTGCCATGTTCTGAACCGGGGCCTGGCCGATACTTAACTGACTCTGGGGTTGTCTGTTGCCATGCCCTGAACCGGGGCTTGGCCCATCCCCAAACAGGCTCTGTTAACTTACCGCCCACCCTGCACCAGGGCCGGGGCTAGATAGAGAGGGTCTTTATGTGCCACCCGCCTGAAGGAATGCCAGGCACGGACTAGTGACTTAGGGACTTGCCTAAAGGGGCCAGTGCAGTGGGGGCGGAGTGGCAGTCCACTGACCTGGAGGAGGAGGAACCCCTCCGGGAAGCTGAACTGGCTACAGCTTGTCTGATGGCAACAGTACTGGTGTTTCACTGGGTCCAAAGGGTTAAATATCTGCGACATTTCCAATTTGCTCAAGTCAAGTGCTTGCCTGAACAGTGTGTTTATAGGATCCCAAGATTCATCCTCTACTTCTTCCTGGAGTGCCATTCGTACTTCACCATTAGGTGCACTAATGTAAACATCATTATCACAATGCTTTGATGCACAATGGGACCCATGAGGGGGTCCGTGCTCGTACTGCCATGGCATCTGCGTGGGTAACCAGGGCCAAAAAAAGACGCGAAAAGTCTTGTTTCCTATTGATCTCAAGCAAGGGGGTCGGGAATACACAAGCGCATTATGGGACGCTGACAACATGAATCCAGAACTGCCCATTGCACAGTTTTAGTCCCTATGTGCCTGGGAGCATAAACCAGAACGCGAAGCAGCACAGGCACTGTGGGATAGCTCCATGGCAGTTTCTCTACTGGGGATGCACTGCTTCGAACCTTCGACTTTACATAATCAGGTAGTAAGAAATCAGCCTTAATAAATGTAATCTTATCTCACAGCATAGATATGACCTTAGTTTACAATAAAAATGTCTTTTCCTAATTCCCAACCCTGACAGTTTATCTTGGAGTCTGCGAGTCATGCTGGGTTATTCCCTCCACACGTAATTGCTAATAATAAAACTTCTTTGGACCAAATCAGGCTCTTAGGTTGCACAGGTGTCACAGTCAGCCCTTAGTGGGCTTGTTTGTGTATAATTCACCAGAATTTAAGCTCATTCCATTCTGCTTATGAATTGAAGAATAGAATCCAGCTGAGGCCACCAGAGCTGTGTAGGATTAGCAGGGTTGATGGGAGTAAAAACAAATAACAATTAACTTCTCTTACTTAAAATTAATATAGCACTCAGGGAGCTGATTTTCTGAGGTAGAAGTTGACACGTTTGTAGTCACTTTTCTGAATAGAATTGCCCATAGGAAAATTAGGTTTTAGAGTAGCAATTTCCAAATTGGAGGGCAGAGGGATTTCTGAAGAGTCTGCCACTCTATTTTCCTAACTTGCCTGTCTCAAAAGCGGTATTGTATAGTGCTGCTGTTGCAACCTTGCTTACTGTACCTCAGATAACAATCCCATTTAGAAATTCTGTCTAACAAAATGAGAGAGTTGAGATTCATGTTTTTGGAAGACTTATCAAGTGTGAAGACATTATTTTGACAGAACCTACATTGCCCGTAGCTGTAGGACACTTCTATTACAGCTTTTCCATCTTGCAAGAAGTAGTTTATAAAATATATAAAATTCCCTCTGGCTCTTCTGTGATCTCATTTTATGCTTCCAAAATTTTTTAGTAATCTATTAATTTCTGGATATGAAGGTGATAATAACTCAATGATAGTAACTCATTGTATCGTGATGTGGAGAGAGGGAACCTTGAAATATGAGTGTATACTACATGGCACTACTTAAAGTACTCTGGTAAATCCAAATCCCCCGTGATAGGTTTTTTTTCTGTCCATGTCCATCTTTGCTTTCTGCCCCCTCGAACTGCGGAAGCTGTCTAATGGATGGGCACCTGAGCATTAGATA